CATCCCGTGGGGCAACAGGGTGTCTGGGGGGGGCAGAACAGGTTGCCCCATGGGGCAACACAGCATCCCGTGGGGCAATGGGGCATCCCGTGGGGCAAAGGGGCAACCCGTGGGGCAACGAGGTGTCCGGGGGGGGAGAACAGGGTGCCCCATGGGGCAACAGGGCACCCCGTGGGGCAACAGAGCATCCTGTGGGGCAACGGGGCACCCCGTGGGGCAACAGAGCATCCCATGGGGCAACGGGGCACCCCGTGGGGCAATGGGGCATCCGATGAGGCAACAGAGCATCCCGTGGGGCAACAGAGCACCCCGTGGGGCAACAGAGCACCCTGTGGGGCAACGTGGTGTCTGAGGGGGTGAACAGGGCACCCCATGGGTCAGTAGAACAATTCATGGGGCAACAGAGCATCCCGTGGGGCAGCAGGGTGCCCGGGGGGGTCAACAGGACACCCCATTGGGCTACAGGGCACCCCACAGGGCCTTAAAGCACCCCATGGGTCAGTAGAACATTCACTTGGGCAACAGGGTGTCTGAGGGGGCAACAAGGCACCCCATGAGGCGGTAGAACAGTTCGTGGGGCAACAGGGTGGCCAAGGGGTCAACAGGGCACACCATGGGTCAGCAGAACATTCAGTTGGGCAACAGGGTGTCTAAGTGGGCAACAGGGCACCCCACATGGAAACAGAGCACCCAACGGGGCAACCAGGTGCTCCCCACCTCGCGTGACAGACCTGTCCCCGCAGGCTCGTCGCGAGGAGGATGGCGGCGGAAGGCGGCCGGGTGCAGATCTCCTTCCCCCAGCACGCGGCAGCGCTGCTGGACTCCCTCAACCGCCTGCGGCTGGAGGGGAAGTTCTGCGACGTGGCCGTCCACGTGGGCGGTCGGATTTTCCCGGCCCACAAGAGCGTCCTGGCCGCCGCGTCCCCATTCTTCCACGATAAGCTGCTGCTGCAGGATGGGGGGCGCCTGCTGCTGCCCCCCGCCATCGACCCCGACGCCTTCGAGGGGCTCCTGCACCTCATCTACTCGGGGCGCTTGACGTTGCTGTTGGAGGCCCTGCCTGGTCATCTCTTGGTAGCCAGCGGTCTCCAGATGTGGCACGTGGTGGATCAGTGCTCGGAGATCCTGAGGGAGTTGGAAGGTGGGGCATGTCGGTGGGCTGGGCGGGGCAGCGAGGTGACATCATCGTCATCGTCAAGTGGCCGCAGCAGTGAGGCTTCATCATCATGGACCACCCGTGGTGATGGGTCTTCATGTACCACCCATGGTGGAGATGGAGCATCATCGTGGACCACCCGCGGTGGAGATGGGTCGTCATGTCCCACCCGCAGTGTTGACGGAGCGTCATCGTGGCCCATCCGTGGTGGCGACGGGTCATCATTGTCCTCATGGACCACGCGTGGTGGCGATGGCTCATCATGTCCCACCCGCAGTGGTGATGGAACATCCTTGTGGTCCACCCGTGGTGGTGATGGATCTTCGTCATCATCGTGGCCCATACGTGGTGGCGACGGCTTTTCGTGGGCCACTCACAGCGGCGATGCGGCGCCGCCGTCTTTCACCAAGGAGGGGGATGAGGATGTCCTCAAAATCCACGTGGCTGCTGACGTGGCACCAGTGGCAACGTCATCCCTGAGCTCCCTCTTGAAGGATGCCGGTGAGGAGGTCCTCAAGATCTGCGTGGAGCAGGAAGAGGAGGAAGAAGAGGAGGAGGAAGAGAGTGGCCA